ACACACACTGCCACACACACACCGCTACACACGCACACACATGCAACGGACACCACCGCAAGTCTCAACACTTACAGGAGCCACAAAAGTCAACACGAGGAGAGAACGGAGCGAAACTTTTCCGAGCACATATATCGAGCTACTTACACTGAAAGAAATCATTGGGTATTGCTTTAATTATTCAGAATTTCCAAAAACTTAACTCTTAACTAATTTATAACCCAATATTACAATTTTAAGGCGTTCAATATTAATAACTTATAATTATTTTCCAATTTTTTGGGTTTTTTTAGTTATTGTCATTATACTTTACAATTTGGAGCCTAGCAGCTTAAAACCCATTTCTGTTATCAACTATTTAAAATTTTTGTAAGTTTTCTTAGGATTTCAGAAACATATTAATATTAAAGCAAACTTGTTTACAAAATTAACAAAAAATAGAAGCTAGTTCCAAAATGTTTGCCAAAGAATGTGCAAAGTGTAAGTATGTGCGAGTTTGGGGGTTTTGCATCAAACTTTAACATAAACTTGGATGTCGCTTCCGTTTCCGCTGCAAGAGCTGCAGACGATGACAAGCGCCCATTTCACCGCCTCTAACACACACACACACACAAACACACAATCTAAATGTTCTTCTCACAAGCTTTTGCTTGGCGGTGTATGTGTGTGTGAGTGTGAGTCCTGCGGTCGGCGGTTGTGTAGGTGTATGTGTAGGTGTAGGTGCGCCTTGTAGGCAGCCATCATTTCTGTTGCTACTGTAATCCAGCATAAAAAATGAATTATGTGCACATGCATTTCTTATGTGCTCGCAGCCGCACTCTTATTACTTCCTTTTGGCAAAAAAGGCTCACTCACACCCACACACACACACACACAGTCACCACCCCGCTGCTTCCGTGTAAGCTGTTGAGTAATGAGCAAATGAAATCCCCTCGCTTATCTTTGCGCGTCTTTGTGGCCGCTTTGTGTGTGGCTCAGCAACCTACTTAAGGCCTAAGCTCAGCTTACGATCTATCTATACCACTCGCAACTCACATTTTTCGCATTTAATAAGTTTTACTGATTGCAACGCATAACTTTTATATAGATTCCCGACTATCGCCCGCATTACTGTCACAATTATCCAGATAAAGGCAGACATCCAATGTCGCCGCCTTGACAAATCGTTTCGAATATGAATGCTATTAGTTGGCTGGGGGAACATCCACTATTAATGGCCTCCTATAAGAAATCAATAAGCCAACGTTAAATTATCAGCAATCATAGCTCAAAATAGCAGCAACCAAAAAAAAAAAAATGGAACCCATTAACAAATGTTGTCTTGCCGAGGCAAGTCTTTCATTTTGGCCCACATTCATGGAATGCCATACCATTTGCCTAATGCAAGGCCATAAAAATATCGCTGCGGCCCCCACTGCGTATGAGTAATAATGCTGGAAAACTAATTTAGAGGCTTTTAGTCTCCATTTAGAACGTTGCCATATATAGTAGAGCTAGAGTCAGCTATTGAAAAGGATTCCCCATATGGATACGTGTGGATTTTCACACATTCACCCAACACCAAAGAGCATGATTCCTTTGATGCGAAAACTAAATGAAAATCGAAACAATTTTTGTGCGATTTTCGCGTGGCAATATTTTAGTATTTTACCATTTTTCTGTGGACACTCAAGCGTATGAGCCGCAGTCAACTTTTGACAAGAAAAACTGCTCCCAAAATCAATAAATCACGATGGATCACGGGTTTGCGGGGCGGGGTTAGATTGCCGCTAAGCCGAAACTAAAATCCCCAAACTGGAGGACTATATATCAAGGGGATGGCAACATATTGTTTCAATATTTGAATTCAATTTAATGGCAGCTAATTGAAAAAACAGAACAGCCAGTGTGCGGCGAACAATAATGCACTGGCCAAGTTTGTCCAGCGATTGGGTCACATAGTATTTTTTCCTCTGCTTTTCTGCAACAATGCCATCGGTTTTTTGCCAATTGGCCATTGGACACGCTCCACTGGGTCATCATGGCACCAGTTGCCACCACCATCACGTGTTTGTCCCTATCCCGGGAGTTGAGTTATTTGCACGTTTTGATAAGTGGACTTAACAACCGCTGGCGGGTGGGCGAAATGCATTGTGGCTCAATGCCCAAAAAAAGATACGATTTTTTCCAGCAGCTTCTCCTTTCGCTCTGCCGGTCACGATGCATTTTGCATGGAAAATGTAAATTCATATTTGCCCATAAATGACAAAAATGTTTATGTTGATAGCCATTCGACTGTTCATGGCCGTACAATTGAATATTGAGGAAATAAAACAGGAATCGGGCTGATGATGAAGTAAGTGGATAATTGGTTTTTTTTTATGAAACTGCAACTTTGACAAATGAATTACAAGCTCCGACCAGATTCTTTTTTAAATATGATGAACTATACTTGTTACTTTAAAATAGTAGCAAAAATAATAATAATATTGACAGACCAACATATAACCAATGTCAACAAAGGCTTAAGTTTTTAAATGTAGTATACATTTCGTTATTTATCAAATCAAAGCACTTAACCCAAATTCAAATTAGGTTATTACGAAATTTTCTAACAAAATTTTGTTAAATATTTAATTATTTTTCAATTACGCCAAATATAAAGCTTACCCGGTAATTATCGACCACAAATGAATCAGAGCAATTTGAAAATATTGCCAACCCTTATGTACTAAACTTAGCAACGTTGTTTGGCCATTAGCTAATTTGTTATTGATTTATCACATGATTTTATTTAATTATTCCATGGTAAGCCGCAGTTGAATGCTAATTTGCAATCGTTGTCGTGCCGTGGACAATTTTCGTGGCGCCATAGTATCGGTAATTGACTTCACCTGATATGATCTTCATGCGAGCCATGGATTTGGGATAGAATAGACGGATAGGCGCACACAATATACATGATAATAAACGTGACCATGTTTTGGGCACCTTAAATTATGCAATATGACAGCGTGAGATATTGAATGAATTTTTCAACCTTACGACCTGTTGTTGTTGTAACTGTTGCTATTTGGAAATCGCCCAAAACGTGACCAGAAATTAAATTGTAGCACATTTGGAGCTTTATAAAAATTTCACAAAAATGAAAAATAAATCCCCAAAAAGAGCCGCAGCGCACACAGCGAAGGAAAAGTGAACAAAATAAATAAGAAAAGTAAACCTGGCACACAAAAAAATATGTCGTATTCAGAGTAAGGGAAATTGACAGAGTCCTGGGCTCGGGTTTGAATTTTGGGGACGCGGGAGTGATGGACACAAAAATAGGTTTTAATAAATTTTATGCACGCGGCCTTCTCAAACAATAACTATGCAGGTGATGTCGGAATCCGTCAGAACGGAAAATGTTATGTGAGAAACTCCCACATCCTGTACCACCTGTCCGTCCATCATCCTTCCACAGCCAGGACACGCTCCAGCGCATAAATTGCTAATATTGTTGAGTGCGTGCACACAGCCACACATCATGGAAAAACTGCATTAGATGCCATCAAACGGTTTTGTTGTCCACTGCCTCCAGAAGGAGCTTTCCTTGCTCCGCTTTGTAACATGCGCCAAGCTTAAAATTGGACAAAAAAACTAACGCCAACAGCAAAACGAAACTGAGTTCAGGATCGAAGTGCCAAACACCCTTGAGATTGGCAGAAATATTTCTAATTGTTTACAAATCGAATTGGATTATATTGCTTGGCAAATAAAAAACATCTGCAACAAAAGAACATCAAAATATTATTATTATAATTTTTAGTTTGTGACTTGGAATCTTTAAAGCGGATTTAATATTCTTCGATAATAACTAATAACTTCTTGAAAAGTTATTAACCATTTACGATTTTATAAAACATCAAGAACCCTTTAGGGCATAGAGCATAACAAGCACTGAAAACTCATAAGCACAACTTGTGTGCAGTGAAGTGTAAAATGTACTCTGCAATTTTCTTTTGTAGCAACATATTTTCTCGCTCTCCAGTGGAGCCGTAGAATTGCCTTTTCAGTGGGAGCAGCGAGCGCTAAAAAGATTACTACGTTTTTTCCCTGTGTCGAAACTGCGATGGACATGCGTGGAGCTCGTGCCTCCGCATAATTAAGTTCGCGCTGAGCCTTTGAAAGCATTGTATGGGGCTCATAGGGAAGGGATTAGGGATTGAGGGATCTTCTCTGGACATCCCCATTATCCCTATGTGACATACATGGTGCGGAGCGGGCCGAATAACTAGAAGGAAGAAATGAAAGCATTTAAATATAAATTCATATGTTTTAGTGAGTCTGGTACAAAGGTTATTAAAGAAAGTTTATTCTTTGCAAATCTCTACATTTGCCCATGCCTGTGAAGAAGTTGGTATACTTCATTAGCTTTTCCATATCTGAGTTGGTTTGGTCCGAACTGAGCCAGTCAGTTGTCCAGAATGAATGAGGCTCTCAATGGAGGTTCACAAATGGTTTTATAGCCACTTGTGAAAAGCTTGTATGCAAATCCATGATATAACAACAGTCTTGTATTGCTTTTCGTTACTACACGTCTCCCGACATTTGTTAGCACATGCCAATTGCGTTTTAATTTGTGGTTCGTTTCTAGATGTAGAAATGAATACTTAAATTCTTAAAATGACATTAGAGATAGGTAATAACAAGACTTGCCAGTAATTCTAATGTAGTGAAGAAAAAGTTTAGCGAAAAGTTTGCGTGCTTGGTTAAGGTAACAGCTGCAAAGGTTCAAGGTGATCCCAGACGCTATTTAAATAAGATTTAGCCATTTTAATTATACCCTAAAATATCTATAATCACAAAAAACTTATACAAGTAAAATTCAAGCCATAAAGTCAAAAATGAATTTATTTTATTTTAATAAATTTGAACTACAAGTGAAATTCTAAATAGAGTTTTTAAAAAATGGTCTGCAATGCATCTGATAAATATTTGTAGTTTCATCTGAGGACAAGGGATGATTCCTTTCATTTACTTTATTGAACGTACATAGTGCGAAGCAAAGCGAAGAACTTGTAGGAAATCTGAAGAAGCTTTGAAAACAAAGAGACAAAATAATATTCAGAAACGAGTAAAAGACTTTTAGTCGCAGCACTTACATCCGTCATCGTAGATCTGCTTATGTCCAAAAATATGGTGGCCTTCAGATAAGTCAGTTTCTGTGCTCGAGCTATTATAAGTACCAAGGCTCGTTTATAGCGGATGTCAGCGTGATTCCAGTTTTGACTATAGGCAGCAACCGAGAGGCCATAACTCTAAAAAAATAGATTCTTATTAAGGTAATTTTCCTAGCCTAAACTTACCGCATCGGCCACCAGTTGACCGTAGTGACAAATCAAGTAAACCTGACTCATCGACGAGAATAGGAACAGAAAAAGCTTTGTAATCATATCCGGCGAAACTCCAACAGTCATCTGGAATCCCACAAAGCAGATGACAAACGAGGACACCATGAAGTTGAGTAGCAGTGGTATTCCAAAGATTTCATTCATAACATCGGAGAGACGAAGAATCCTTTCGTGATACCTAACAGTATTCGTCAAAAATACCGAGTCCTTCTCGCAATCACCAGTTAACTCGTGGGTCTCCATAGATTCTGAGAGGTAATCAAAGTGCATTACAACTTGAGTGGCCACCGAGCTAAGCAAAAGATCAGAAGATATTTGCCCAGCTGCTGCTGTGTATCCTGCAAAGTTCTGGGAGAAAAGCACAAGATAATAGGTCCAGTTGTCCTCCCACTTCCAGGGAATGTACATGAAGTATGGCAATGTTTTGCCCACCTCGCGAATGTTCAGCCACTTTTCGTAGACCAGGAACTGCATTATGCTGAACAAGTTGAAAGTCCAGATGAGCAGCGAGTAGAGCAGCGAGTAAGTGAAGCTGATCCTGGAGCAAGATCGAAGATACTTCTCCAACTTGTATCTCTGCTCCTGCATTTTTCCCCGCGGGTAGATCTCCTCCAACTCCCTCACCATTCCATTCATGGCCGCCTTCTTCCACCAGATGAAGCACATCTTGCTCATGCCCACAATAATCAAATCCAATATAGGATAGCACAGTGACGGCCTCCAGAAGCTTTCCACTGCTATAGGCACTGCGAAAATAAATACTCTCGCCGATCGCAACCAGAGTCAAGTTAATCACATTGGCCCAGAAAACGATTTGGCTGGTAAGACTTTTTTTGTGTTCCAGCAAATCCTTTTTGTACGGCTCAATACCAACAGCCGTGTAAAAGAAGTTGGCGTACTTCATGAACTTTTCCATCTCTCAAGAGTGTTAAGCAGATCCGAAAAGAGGTCCTTTCTAAAACAGAATGAGGCATCTGAAATTGGTGGGATGCCTTTTATACCATTTCTACTTGTCACGCTATGCAATTATATAATCAATATTGATTTTGATGCAAAAACCTTGTAAGATTACAAGGTATTATTAAAGGTTTACTGGTTTTAGGTTGGGTTTGTATCTTTATTATATATCATAAGTAGTGTCATTTAAGTAATGTCTTCTGACTTTTGACAAAAATATTTTTATATTACATTTTTTAATGGTATCATATATAATGCAACAGTGTAAATGAGTATCATCATAATAAGTTTATTTGATATACATAGTACGTAGCAGAGCGAAAAACTTGTAGGATATCTGAAGCAGCTGAAAAACAAAGTTATTATTAAATTTAAAAATTAAATTAAGTCAATTTGGATCTTACATCAGTCATTGAGGCCCTTGTTATATTCATAAAGATTGTTGCCTTCAGAAAAGTTGTTCTTTGGGGTCGAGCTATGAAGAATACCAGTGCACGACGATAGCGAACATCGGCATCGGTCCAGTTCTGTTTGTAGGCAGCAATAGATAGGCCAGAGCTCTAATGGGATAATAAAAATATTTAAAAAATATGTTAAGCCTGTAATTAAAGATTTTATTTAATACCGCATCGGCTATCAACTGGCCGTAGTGACATATCAAGTACACCTGCGACAATGATGAGAAGAGGAACAGAGAAAGCTTAACCATGATATCCGGCGGAACTCCCACGGTCATTTGGAATCCCACAAAGCAGATGACAAATGTGGAAACCATAAAGTTGAGCAGGAGTGGTATTCCGAATATATCGTTAAGGACGTCCATTAGTCGGAGAATCCGCTGGTGATATCGCACAGCCTCGGCCAAAAATCGCGAGTTCTCGCTCCAGTCCTCACCCAAGCGATGATTCTCCACAACCCTGGCCAGGTGATCGAAGTGCATAGTCACCTGAGTGGCCACGGCACAGAGTAAGAGATCCGTAGAGATCTGTCCCGATGCCGAAGTGTGTCCTGCGAAATTCTGGACAGAACAAGAGCAGATAATACGACCAGGGGGCCTCCCAGTTCCAGGGGAAGTACACCGGGTATGGTAAACTCAGACCGACTACACGGATCTTGAGCCACAGTTCGTAGACGAGGAACTGCATGGTGCTGAACAAATTGAAGGTCCAGATGAGCACTGAGTAGAGTAGTGCGTAGGTGATGCTAATCCTAGAACAAGATCGCAGATAGCTATCCAATCGATAGACCTTCTCCTGATCTTTGGTCTGAGGATATATGTGCTCCAACTCTTGCACCATATCACTAAGGTCCGGCTTTTTCCACCAGATGAATAACATCTTGCTCATCCCCACGAACACAAATCCGATATAGGACAACACAGTCACGGCATCAATCAATTTTCCACTGTATAATGCAATTCCCAGGTGAAGAAACTCTCCAACAACAATCACACTTAAATTTATCACATTGGCCCAGAAAAGGAGATTCGACCACAGACTGATTTTCTTTGGACCAGAGACCTTTGTATATGGCTCAATGCCCACGGATTTGTAAAAGAAAACTGCGTACTTCATAAACTTCATTTTCCGATGTTAAACTAATCGAATAGAAAGTGCTTGGAGGTCTTTTATAGACATTTGTTCAAGGGACAAGCACCATTTGTTATGCCAAGTAATGACATAATTATAGAACTGTTTACAGTTAATGTATAGATTTCAGTTTATAATAGTATAGTTCAGAGCTTTGTTCACAACTTAATTATTGATTTCGTTTACATAAACAGCGGATAATTGTTATGCCTAGGCAAACGCAATCACGATTCCCATCCAAGTTCCCTCATTCTTCTAAGCCCGTGCTCGCAACACAATAAATCACTCGAAGATTGAATCCGACGGAAAGCAATTGAAACGTTTGAAATGCAATTCGAAAGCGAATCGGAACCAGCGCATCGAACCCAAGACCCGGACGCGGTCCAATCCCCGGGAAAATGAAGTTTTTTATTTTTTCCTTCGCACTTGAAATAAATTAAATCTTTTCAGTTTTCAACAATTCAGCTTAGCCAGCGTGGGGGAATATAAACACAATGAATTACGCCCGCAGAACACGTTAGCCCAATTATACAGCGGTCGAAGTAAAGTTCTACAGTAAAACTTGTCGAGACAAACCATTTTGGTCAATATCTTAAGGTTAAGTGGGTACTAATGAAACCACAATGGCTTCAATACCTTAGTTAAAAGATGACAAATTTTAAACATATGTATAGTGCTTGAATTATTTCTTTGATGGTTCAAATAAATGGCTTTTGTTAAAAAAAAGATAGAACAAATAATGAAAAACTATCCAATACCAATGTACCAACCATAAAAGAGATGGATTTCAAAGAGTAAATACATTTTAAGAGATAATATTTATTTGGAGTTAAGTTAAAATGAATTATCCTCAGTGTTCAGATTTGACTGTCTGCAAAAGTCTTTCCGATTTGATTCTGAATCCAACTATGTGCGTTGCCCTACAAAACTGTGCCAACTGAAATGCAAACAGTGCGATTACAAGTGAAGAAGAAGGCAGGCGGGGCAGTTACTGCCACCGCAGCTGGTCAAAGGAGATTTTTGGGCCAAATTGAAAGACAAAAGCCCTGAAATGTTGCTTCCATCGCGGACAGCGAATCGCAGCGCCAAAAGCAAACGAACGAATTTCCATTTTTGCCATTTATCACGCATGGAAATTGAAGCCCGCGAGGAAAGAAGTGTGCGGATGGGCGCATCGGAGGACAACAACCTGGAACTTGAAATACAATTAAAGCTTTGGGACTCACTGGCCAGCCGGGCACCAAAAACTTTTCATGTCTCAAGTCTCGAATCTCAGGTGAAGAGCCATGTAAGGTAACAAGGTTTCCGGTGCCCCTCCACCACCACCAATTTATCCACCCACCGGCGGCAAGCCAAACTTATTATATACACACACACACCCCACAAAGTTTACCTGGACTTTTAGGATGGCAGCATGGGTATGTGGATGTGGGCAGCACAAACTTGGTGGAAAAGTTTTATGAGCAGCAAACTAATTTCGTTTGACTTTGCTTCGGGGATATTGCACCACGGGTGGGACGCCGGGAATTGATTTTGGTCCTGTTGACGTTGCTGTTGTTCCTCCCAAGTGGTCACATTTGCATATGAAAACCAGGAAGAGAGTTCTCCTTTGAGTTTGCTTATTAACTGATCATATTATGAGTTAGTAAATCAAAATGATTAAATACTTTTTAGGGTATCCTTAACAAACCCTTACGTCAATTAAAATATTCTATTCATTAGTAGATGACACTGTAGTAATTTTCTTCTTTTTTTTTGGGATTTGGAGGTTATTGGAAAAGTCGATAGCCAGAAAGATATAAAGTAAAAGCCGAACATGATCCATTGTTAATTTTACATTTTTCAACAACTTCCGACATTGCGGCAATTGTCTTTCGGTTTGCTTGGCTGTGTGACTATCGACAGGCGAACGAATTGTGTGATTTTGCCCCAAGAAAACAATCATGGTTTGGTATTGGGGTTTTGGTAAAATGTCTGCCCGCAAAATTTATATTTTGAAGTAAAGCCAGTGCGGTCCTGGCCACATTTTCGGCTGGCAAATGTGGAAGAGCGTAGGAAAATGGGGGAAAGAGGACTGATTTTATGGTCAAAGTCTTCCCACATCTCATTGATGATTCGGGGCCAACAAAGCAGGTTTCGGTTAACCAACTTGTGATCAGGGAGAAAGAGAAATAAACGAATGGAAGCAATTAATAAAATAACAACTTTGTGCAAAATTAATTGTGTATTATGCAAAAGGCTTGCTAATGGCAGGATATGCATCAATGTACGCTGCTGGTCCGCATAAAATATTACAGTGACGACAATGTCTCCTCCGGCCGTAGATCCTTGTCCCGATTCTGCTGTTTCTGTAATGGCCGTGCGCACCAATAAGCAAATGAACAATTTATTACCGCTTAATTGAACACATTTGGACGCAACCACACACACACACACACACAAAGGGGGCCTAAACAAATGGCCACATGCAGGCGGCATCCTGGGAAGGACCTCCGCATTAAGCCGTGCCAGAGGGGTTTTTGGGGTTGGGTTCGTGCTTGTGCACCAGGATAAATGAGCCCAAGACAAGTCTATAAATGCCGGATGGTAGTTTGGGGCAGGACTCTGGACTCAGGACTCCGAGTCCTGTGTGGTCAAGCAGCTCAATGAAACACGACCCCAGCCCAAACCGAATCCCAAGCTGGCTGAGTATTCGGAAAATCCGTTCCTTGTAGCCTCGCTGCATATTAAACACACGGCTCGCTGGACAAATTGATTCCTAAGTGGCTGCCGGATTGACAGCTCACAAGGTCCTTGTGTGTGGGCCGAGCTTTCCCCGCCGGCAGTTTACACAATTATCCTGCACTCGACCTGCAACCTGCAACCCGGTCTGCACCTGGGCTAATTGCCAATTGAACCCCAAAGAAAGCGGGGCAACTTTAGATTAGCAGCAACAATGGGGAGCGTCGACATTTAAGTGCTTACTTAGCGACACGTCAGAAACAAGGATTTATTTCGGGACAGGGACACCCCCTAAGCACCTTGAGTAAATTAAGTGAGTGCCAGGTCCTGACAGAGTCAAGTATATTTGATATACATGGCACTCACCCTCCACAACTCCACCCCCGCAAAACGACACTTGGCCTAAGCCAAAAGGCAAAAACAGGCGAATCCCACAAAGCAGCCGCAATTTCGCTAAGCATTTGAGCGGGAAACAGCAGAAGTGAAGCATCGCGCCGACCACAAAGAAGGAATAGGAAAGGATCTGAACAGGACTCACACCACCTGCTTAGGCCTTCTACCGAATGAACTACTTAAGCGCTTTTGGCTTTTCAAAATAAGCCATGCCACAGGTAAATGGCAAAAGCAACAGCAACAGCAATAGCAATGGGACCATAGCAGCCACAAACAATAACGAAATATTTTGTATATCCGCTGTGCCGTATCAACCACTCTGAAGGAGGTTCAATACACTTGGAAAAATTCTTTCAAAATAATGGAAAGGTGTCCACAAAATATAAGTGGTAATGAGTATTTAATGAATGAGTATTTATTATTAACATTTAATTAATTTGCGTAATGTTTTCCGATTTTTGATCATTCATGTTCATACCGTGAATTTAATTGTAAGAGATTTCCTTAGCAATCCTGAAGAGAAAAATAAATTTCAAAGTTTTGGTGGGACATTTCCTTTCTATTAAGCAAAGATCTTGAATTTAAATAAAACATAATTTAATTACTCAATACCTATTCTCTCAGTGCATGCGTAAATGAAAAGAAGCAGGAGCAAAAGGACGCTGGAAATGGAAATGGAAGTGGAACCTGAACAAGAGCTCAGCCAGAGACATGCACAGATACACTTTATGAACTACAACCGAAATCCAATTGATTGCACAGGCACAGAGTCTTCGGCAGAGTCTACTTGCTGCTCGAATGGCAAACAATTTGGCAGGCCAAGTGCTTTGGTCGTCAGGCAGCCTGAGTTGATGATTGTGGCACGAATTGTGGCCTCAGAGATTGCCGCAGGATTCGCAAATGAAAATTTGAGGCACGCGTGGGCGGCAGGACGCAAAGGAGCGAGGCAGAGGAATGGGAAGTGGAAGGGAGGGACAGCCCAAGCGGATTCATTAGCTTAGCTGGATAATTTTCAGCCAATTAAATTTCACTCTTAGCTGAAAGTGTGATTTTAATGAGGAACAAGTGAGAACTCGGCATTGAAAACACCAATTAGGCGAGGTTATGTAAACAGAGAAAGTTTTAATCAATTTAGGTTTTTATGATAAGGTACTATTTATAACTATTACAAAATATAACATATTTTGACAAATTTTTGCAAAATGTTAAGCCAAAAAAAAAGCAACAATAAACTTTTTACTTACGAAAACCTTACGAAATTAAAATGGCTATACAAAAATAGCAGGAGAATATTTTTATAAGCAACATTTACATTTTTATCGAATGCTCACCATGTAAATATTTTGAGTATCTAGTTAATTGTTTTTGTAAATAAGTTTCTTGTAACCAAAAACATTATCACTTGCTCTCTAGGCTTCTCAACTTTAGTCGTTATTAATAAAACAATATTTAATTTGTTAGCTTTTATTGTATGCATTCTTAAAATTCTTAAATATAAAAAAAAAAACTGGTAAGTTCATTTGTTCTAAAATCAGCACCTCATTTCGTAGTTAAAAAACGCGCCTATTATGGACACTCAAAAGCTGAATGCTACATCACTCACTACCATGTGTTACCGACACGATATATCGATACATCGATGGGCAAACGGGCGCAGCGCAGCCGATGTCCAGCAGTTTGCTTATTATTGTTTACAAAACGCAATTCCCGTCAAAATAAAGCAGATAAAATAGTGATAAAAATCGCGCGGCGAGTGAGAAAATGCAGCCGAAGGCCTGCTAAAAGGCGCTGCGTTTGCTGCACAAGGGCAGCGGATCCAAAAAGAGTGTACCACCCCGCCCAACCACTTGTTGTTGTTGGACTTTGCCGCCGCCCCATATAATACCATCCATTATCCATTAAACCCGACCGATTTCCTCCAATGCTGAGTGTGTCCGGAATCGGGGCTATCCAGACCGCTTTCGTCGAAGCTCAGAAGCGGTTCACTCACATACCAATGCGAAATTGGATTTAGCTGTCAAATAGTTGTCAAATTCTCATAGAAACGTAACGTCGAATATCTAATAATCTCGAATCTGGACAAACATTAAGCAACATATTAAAAACCAGCCCTAGCCGTATCTTAAATCAAATTGGTTATTACCAACTGTTCAGTTTATTGCCCGCCGTCAAGTGTCCAGTAGTTGAATCGTAAGTACCTCTCTATATTCTTCGATAATGGAGATTAGCAATACCCCGTACTGGGTATTATTCATAGAGCTTCGTAATATTGCGCAAATGTCTCGAATTGACCTCATGCTAATCGCTAGCTGGAAAGTCTCGGGATCTAAGGTTGAAAGATAATGAGGGAAACTCGTTCACACTTCGTGGCAGGTGGTTCGATTAAAAAAGCCCTCAAGAAAAGTTTTACAGCCCGACTGTAATCTAAAGTGGCTTAGGTTAAGGTTAATCTTGGCCATTAAAAGATACTATCAAAAAAAAACACCTCGTTCCCTATGTTAAACAATTATTGTACAAAATTTTAAAAGGGAAAGTTTAAACGATTTTTAATTTATTGTTATCGTGTCATAACAAATATTTTTTGGTCAAACCTTTCTTTATTTCCCTAGAGGTTAATGAGTAGGTCATATCTTATGATAGGGATCTTTTATTTACTTAAGTATACTATAATGAATCATTTTTCAAGACCCCACTTCTCTCTCTCTATTCCTTTATCAACAAAAACAACCAATCCTACCGAATATGTAGAACCTTTGTTTATGCCGTTGGCAAATCCCCCGCAGTGGCTAATCTTTCATGTATCTTATCGAGAGACAGCCGTAAATGGCCACAGATACCCACTGAACAGCTGTAATCCACCGATCCAAACCGACTTTCCAGAGTTTGTATTAGGGAATAAGTCAGTTCTGGCCTGTCCAGCAGCAAATGCAGTCCGCCCCCAGCGAAACAAAAATATAATAAAAAACAAAACAAAGTCTTTATTAAGCTATTTTCAAGTTCAGTGGAACAACCGATAGGAAAATAATCACAGCTGTATACTTGTGGCCTGAAGATAAGATTAAAGGTTAAAAAACGGACTCGGACCCGGCCACCCCATATGCAGTGACTAACCATTAAATTTCACCCGCTCAGAAAGTTTGAATTTTTTTTTATCAATCCTGTTCCATTATATACTAGTAGTTTTCTTTCTTTTACCATATGTGTAGTTTCTTATCAATAACAAACTAATATCACTTTAACTATGGTTATCTTAATAATTTGGAATAAATTAAAACAAAGCTCCCCTCATATCTACAATATTACCTTATCAAAGATAGTGAATTATAAATTATGGAATGGTTTCTTTCTTGTTTTAAACCTCAATTTTCAAATCAAAAACTAAACTATTTGAATTATAATAATGCTATATATTTTTCTCTAAACACAGATTGACATTCCACAATGGCGGGGCAAAGTAAGCTGATCAACCCACTGTCCATCACCTGCAAGGAGTTCCAGCACCCATGGACGGACCACTGCGTCAGCGCCACCGCGGGAATCCTGCTCGCGACCACGCCCTACTGCCTGCGGGTCTACACGATAGTCTACGCCCTCTCCCTTTTGATGCGCCACCGCATTCCCAGTCGGGAGGATCTGCGCAAGACACTGTTAGGCATTATCCAGTCGACGGCCTTCCTCGTGACCAATGCCTACACCTTCATCCTGTACAACTGCGCGCTACGGCACTTACTGGGCACATATCATTTCTCCACGGTGGCGTTTGTTCCGTGCTTTTTCGCTTCGTTTTCGGCCATTCTGGTAGAGCGACCCGCCCGTCGACCACTGCTCACTCTGTACGTGGCCAATGTGGCCACGGAAACGCTGTGGAAGATGGCAGAATCGAGGGGCTGGGTGCGTTCCATACCAAATGGACAGACACTCATCTTTGGAATGAGCATGTCGGCGCTGCTCTACCTTTATAGAACTGGAGCCTCAAAGGATTCCATTTTCAACATTCTCCGCATCTTCGTGGGCAAGGAGGAGGCGGGACCTGTGGCCAAGTCAGGTCCCGCAGTGCCCGGCGAGCAGCCTGCTCCAGCCCGCCGACGTCCCACCGTCAGCTTTTCCTCTGTCTCCGACTTTGTGCGCGTCTACAGTAACCTGATACGCGCCAAACACGACAGCTGCCGTCACCAGCAGAGCTGTATCAGCAACTCTGTAATCGGTGGAATTAAACCCTTCTTGGGAGGAGTGGCACTTCAGGTGGCCCTAAAGCTGGTGATGAACGTGAAGCGAATCACTGCCGGAAAGATGCCGTGGAAGAAGCTGGTTTTCAACCGTGGCACCCTGCAGTTGGGCATCTTTATGGGCAGCTTTTCGTTCCTCTATAAGGTGAGTTTTTCGACATTTGAAACCATCAGCCAATATTTATGTTGCATCTTTTCAGTCGGTGTCCTGCCTGCTTCGACACAGTTTTAACCGGGATGATGCCAGATTTGCCATTCCTGCCTCATTGATAGCCTCCGTGGCCTTCACCCAATACCCTGATAACACGGTGGCCTTGTATGTTATGTGGAAGGCGCTGCAGGTGAGCTGTTTATAAATTCGGAATATTTTTTAACCAAGTTACTTACCTATTTACCGCCTTAATCCTTAGATCTTGTGCACAATGGGTCAGGAGCGAGGAACCGTGCCCCGTATTCCCAACTTCATGCTGTTCTTGTACTCCTTTTTCACGGCTGTGCTCTTCCACGCGGGTATCCTGGAGCCCAAGAACCTGCGCCCCAGCTACTTTAAGTTTCTGCAGGCCATCTCGGGCGATCGGTGAGCAAAGTTCGCACACGCTGCGTAAGCAATCGATTAACAATCTCTTATCTTCACCAGGCTAACAAAGTTTAATCTGAGCGCCTTCGATATATTCGGCCTGAGCAGTCAGCAACAGGCGTGGGACACCATCAAAGCACTAAACATAGTGGAGAAGTCAGCGCTGCCCGCCTTCTCATTTGCCTCCTGAGCCCTCAGTAGCAGAATTTCCTAGATGATCAGTCATTTCGGCTTCCTTAGAAGAACCATTATATCTCCATGTATCCGCGTTTTGTGGCGAGTTGTACATACGTCAAGAGTCTCCCGCGCTCCAAGAGCGCCCAACGATTACTAAACTAAGCTAGTTTGGGTGGATTTGTAAATTATGTTTTATTACTTGGTATCAATAAAAATAACAAAAATAAAAATCTTAAATATAGTGTTTTTTTTAAAATCATCTGAAAACTCGTGGTAAATACAGATCTAAGATACCTTGTGTCTTATAAACTTAAATCATTATAATAATTTTTTTTCTTCAAGATCGCTTGTACTCGAAAGACAATATTCTGAGTTATCTTTTTAATGAATAAAATTTTCTACATTAGTTATGTTAGTGTACATCAAATGAAATCACAACATATATGAACACCGTTTTAACTTAAAAAGCTTTTTTTTTCGGAGTAGCCCCTTAAGAGAAAGAAACAAATAAGCTTTAAGAAATGAACACACTTTTCAATTACGGTGAAAGCTCCTAACATTTGATATGAAACCCCTTCGACTTATGGTGATTCATTGTAAACAAACCATAAAGACCCGATTAGCCACAATTTTCGTCTGGCGTATTTGCGATTAGCAGTTCCTCAGACAAACTTGTGCAGAAGCGATTCGCGCGATTTTATTTAAAAACACCTGAAATGGAGGTGCCTTTGGCCGATCGGACTCAAACGTATGGCGAAATTCGAACTTGGTGGATTACCCGTGGCAGTTTATTCGAAGAATAAAAATTAATGGAAACCAACGGAACTGATAGTGTATTTCTTTACGATAAGTGCTGGCATTTTTTGAGAAATACTGCTAGATTTGCATGAAAATAATCTGAACCTGGTATTTAAATTGAAGTAGAGGGCTAAGATTACTTAACTACATTTGGTTCCCATTGGCTAGTCATTTCCGTTTAACGTGTATCACCAGTCTGCGTTCGATAAGTACAATCTGCGGTGCACAAGTCACTTTCATATTGGATCATGGCAGCCCAAAGTAAACTCGCTGAGGTGGCCTTTAATTGTAGCTGCCAGGAGTACATCCATCCTTGGACTTCGAGCTGCGCATGCGCAACAGCTGGGATGCTATTATCCTTGATTCCTGGTACTTTTCGAACCTATAGCATGGTCTACTTGGTGAGTTTATATTTTTTTCCTTTTTTGTGTCATAATTTATCTATTATATCATTCACAGTTGGCTCTTTGTATGCGTATGCGTATTCCTTCGCTCAAAGACCTCAAACACACTGCATCCAGCATTCTACAGTCAACGGCTTTCCTTTCCCTGAATGGCAGCCTCTTTATCCTCGCCATTTGCTTGGTGCGACAGTACCTGGGTGGTTTCTACTTCAGTACAGCGGCCTGGCTGCCAGCACTCTTGGTGAGCTCCATTTGCTTAGCAGTCGAGCGTCCGGAGCGACGAGCTCCACTGGCCCTGTACGTGTCCAATGTTGGCATCGAAACCCTTTGGAAGATGCTGGAGTCGCGAGGTCTGGTGCGTTCCATTCCCAATGGACAGGTACTCATCATGGGCGTCAGTGTCACCGCATTGATGTATCTTTATCGTGCGGGACTTCACAAAACGGTGGTCAAGGATGCGACCTTTAAAGGTCTGAGTGTAATCATGGGCAAGGATGAGGAGGGTCCACTAAAGACTCCGATTGGGAACACCTCGCAGAGAACCTTTCCAAGCGGATTGAACTTCCGCTGTATCATGTCGTACCTACAAATTTATGACTACCTGTTCACACTCAATCATCCTAGCTGTCCACACAAACAAGGTTGTGCTCAATATGCCCTTCTTGGTGGCCTGAAACCTTTCCTAGGGGGTGTGGGTCTGTCTGTGGGTCTCAAGCTACTGCTCAACATTACCAAGATATTCCAGTTCAAGATGCAGTGGCGCAAACAGATCTTTAACAAGGGATCCCTAAAATTGGGTCTCGCCCTAGGCATCTTCTCACTGCTTTTCAAGGTAAGTTTATAGGACATTAGACATTATTACTTCATATCAATTAATAAAATTACATTTTTAGACAACTTCCTGTGGACTGCGCCACTCTTCTGGATTTGACAACGCTCTCTTCGCCATTCCAGCTGGATTGATCGGATCGATTGGCCTGCTGCACTTCCCCAACACCACTGTTTCCTTATACCTGATGTTAAAATCCCTACAACTCCTTTACAACTGGGGCGTCTCCGAGGGAAAGGTTCCTGAGGTGCCAAACTTCTCCATGATGATGTACGGATTTTTCACGGCCGTGCTCTGTCACTCAACCGTTCTGGAGGCACAATCCATGCGACCTAGCTACTTCAAGTTCATCCAGAACATTTCCGGAGGTCGTCTCAGCCGATTCAATCTGAAACCCTTCGAGGCTTTTGGAGTGAAAAGTCAAGATCAGGCCAACTACGTGATCAAGAAGCTGGGCATTACTATGACTTCTCCTAATCCTCTGTTTGCCCTAACTGTTTAGAATTTGTTGCCTGTAGTCGCAGCTCAAACGGAGAAAACCTTTATATAATATAAGACTTAACTTTATTTCCTAGCTGTATTAATTGCAATTATATGTCTAATTCAATAAACTATTTTAAAGGAGTTTATACATACTTAAAAATATTGGTTCATACAGTTTTTGCATAAAAGAGTACATAATTTGATAACAAAATTTTACATAAAGTTACTTTTTATTGTCAAAATAAGTTATACATTAAATAGTGTTTTTTATGTTGGGTTGGACTGATCTTTTGAATGCTATAGTAATTAGCGCCTAAATAAATAATCAAACACGCCCCTGACTTTTGAGAATATTTCTCTTAGGTACTAAAACTGAGTACAGCCCCTTAAGAGAAATTCGTATCAAAAGAAAATAGAATGCCGGGGGTCTCTTAAAAATTGATAAGAAATTGTGACGCAGTGTCAACAAACCGATCGCCATTGAGCAACTAAGCCAACTTTCTGCTCGCGTGTATGCGATAAGTTCCCCTTCATTCGACGCACTTCAGACGAACCACTTGCTGGAATTTGGGCGAGAGGGCACTGTTGCTGATTACGGCCGGAGTGGAGCTCCTAAGGTGCGACTACACGCGGACTGCTCTTGGCCAAATGGGTTGGATGGTTGTCGGTAGTCAGTTGTATTTGATGGCTGACCGGGCCAGAACGTGATTCCCTCCCAGGAGAAAATATTTAATATATTTGACTTGGCAATTTTCAAAACTACATTCGGTGAGTGATTTAACTAAAAACGGCTTACCTCTTCCATTCAATTATATCTATATCCAATAAATATGTGTAATACTATGATAAACCATATCCGATCCTCAGCTAATTTTATGTGGATGACCAGCAGCAGCTGATTCGTGAAATGCCCAGCGATATTTACTGGGAACCGAGGAATTTGGAACATCGAGGGCATCTTCATATTTAATACCAGCATTTCTAAAATTCACTAGCTGAAATTACACTGGAATAATCATAAATCCGGGAAATCGAATTTAAATAGAGCATTTCCGTGGCACGTTCGGACTTTTGAAGATAAGCCACAATTCGATAAGCTTTATCATCTGGACGGAGCCAATTCGATAATCGTAGACCGAGGAGCATACATAAGTCAGTTTTCCAAGTGGATCATGGCAGCCCAAAGTAAGCTGGCTGAGATAGCCTTGAACTGCTCCTGCTATGAGTACAACCATCCGTGGACCTCGAGCTGTGCCTGTGCTGCGGCGGGCATGATGCTCTCCGAGATCCCCCCCAGTCTGCGTACCTACGCCACTGTTTATGTGGTGAGTTGAAGGCGGAACATTATGTCAAAAATAGCTCGAATTTTGCACCTGCTTTAAGGTCGTTCGGTAGTTGCGTTGATACTAAGTTAAGTACAAAGGTTATAATTTATTTAAAAATCATATGCGTGCAGGTCTTTCAAGTATGATCAATAAATCATGGAAACATCAGGCAAAATAATTGAAAATAAATTCAATACTAATTAATTAATTAATAACAAAAACATATTAACCTCTCACAATCTATTTTTCCTCTTCCAGTTGGCCCTGATCATGCGGGGACGAATCCCCTCACTGAAGGACCTCGGACGCACTGCATCTGGAATCCTGCAATCCACCGCTTTCCTTTCGATGAATGGCGGTCTCTTCATTTTTGCGGTGTGCTTCTTGCGGCAGATCTTTGGTGGATTCTACTTCTGGACAGTGGCATGGTTGCCTTCGTTCCTGGCCAGCTTCGCCTGCCTCGCCTTCGAGCGTCCGGAGCGCCGTGCTCCACTGGCCATGTATGTGGCCAATGTGGGCATTGAGACTCTGTGGAAGATGTTGGAGTCCCGAGGATTTGTGCGATCCATTCCCAATGGACAGGTGCTCATAATGGGCGTCAGTGTCACCGCCTTGATGTATCTATATCGCGCTGGACTTCACAAGACGGTGGCCAAGGACGCGACCTTCAAGGCTTTGGGTCTGATTGTGGGCAAGGAGGAGGCGGGTCCGCTTAAGACTCCTGTGGTGACCACTTCGCAGAGTTCCCGACAGGCTCCGCTCAACTTCCGATGCATTTCTTCGTATCTTCAGCTCTACGACCGTCTGCTTAAGTCCAAACATCCCAGTTGTCCACACAAGCAGGGATGCGCTCCATACGCTCTTCTTGGGGGTTTGAAACCCTTCCTGGGAGGCGTGGGTTTATCGGTGGGTCTCAAACTGCTGCTCAACATTACCAAGATCTTCCAGTTCAAGATGCAGTGGCGCAAGCAGATCTTCAACCAGGGCTCCTTGCAATTGGGTCTTGCTCTAGGCACCTTCTCACTGCTCTTCAAGGTAATGTGCTTTAAATCAAACATATAGTTTTTAATTAATAAATTTACCTTTCAGTCAATTTCCTGTGGACTTCGGCACTCTTTTGGATTTGACAATGCTCACTTCGCCATTCCAGCTGGCTTGATCGGATCGATTGGCCTGCTGCGTTTCCCCAACACCACGGTGGCCTTGTATCTGATGTGGAAAGCCCTACAACTCTTCTATAACTGGGGCATTGCCGAAGGAAAAGTACCCGAAGTTCCACACTTTGCGATGCTCATGTATGGATTCTTCACGGCCGTGCTGTTCCACTCGGCCATCCTTGAAGCTCGTTCCCTGCGGCCCAGTTACTACAAGTTCCTGATGAACATCTCGGGCAATCGCATCAGCCGCTTCAATGTGAAACCCTTTGAGGCCTACGGATTGAAGAGCCAGGACCAGATCAACTATGTGATTAAGAAATTGGGCATCGACATGACCTCCCCCTTCCCAATTTGTGCCCTGACTGTCTAGATGGTTCTTCTCTCCACATACTGTTGAATAAAAAAAGAAAATACAATACAATAAATGTGTATCACAACGTTGCAGCAAAACTTTAAATTAAATGCGCAACGCAGAATGGCCATTAAGGACTTTTAAGTGAGGAGCCGCAGAGTGGGCCAACATCAATCACGGAGTCAACAAGCCGCAGGCACCCCTTAACCGCCCTTAACCCCCTTAACCCCCCTTAACCGCCCTTAGCCCCCCCTCCCAAAAACCCTCTCAACCCATGAGCCACTGGCCTCACCGCTGTGACAACTCTAGACGGCGGCTCCACGCTGCTCAATTATTTACATTTATATGTCATATAAATTTATTGCCCACCATAACTCAGCCGGGCCGAGTTGAGCTGAGACCAAGTGGAGATACCCGAAATGCAGCTACAAATTCACTAAAAATAAAAATAATAATAAAGCACAAAGGCGAATGAATAAAATGAGATGAATATGCTTCCAGGGTAACGAAGCTGAAAATACCCTAACATTATTATAACACGTAATGAAACAAATTATTATAATGAAAGTAACCAGTTTTTAAATTCCAAATATAAGAGTCTGGATCATAAAAAGTTCATTAGGTATACATTTGTTGGTTTTAATTAGTTTTAAAATATTAAACATAAGCCTTCACATATATACATCATTCAGATAAAGTCCTATAAAGAATATTGCGTATTTGTCAGCAAGGATATCTGTGCCTCCCTATTATTGAATTTATTTTATTGTTTCATGCTAATGTATATAAACAAATAGTCTCATTCTTAGAGTACAACTTTAATGGCTTCCTCTGTGTGGTGCATCCTTTTTAGGACAATTCCACAGTACCCAAATAAGAGGGTATAATAAGCACTAGCCGTCCTTGGCCCCCGTCCTAATGATCATCTTGGCCAGCAATGAAAGCGGAACTCAAGCCGAATCCGAGGCGGGCTTAACAAATGAATTATAGGCTCGGGTAAATTTAATGTGCCACTTAGTTATCGGTGGGGGATGAGCGGAGGTCCTGGCTTTTATTTTTATGCGAATCATAATAAATAAATCTGGGATTATCAGCTTAGCAGTTGCAGTTGTTACTGTTGTTTTCATAGCTCCTACTTGTTGTTCCTCCTCGGGCGCTTCGAGGAACTGCAAGAAGTGCATATAAATTGAATATTATAAATTTTCTTATTTTGCAACTGCTGCTCTCACTTAGCTTGGCTGCTGCCAAGTTGTAACTTCATTTAAGTCAATCGCTCTTTTCTGTGGCACACAAATTGTAAACAAGGGAATTATGCAAATGGATAAATTCCCGCCCCAAGGCGGCGTAATGAAATATTATTGAAGTCCGTAGCTCGGTGCGCAAATCGAACAGAAAATGAACTTTTAACTGTCAAAAAAGGCGAAATGGGAAAAGCAAAAAGCAGTGCAAGTCCTTCCCAAAAGAGAGGAAGTTCTCACCATTTGGCCAAGAGTTTCGACTTGCCATAAATTTCGTTTTATATTTCTATGAACTGACAAGGTATGTCAACGCAAGATAAGCAACCCCAAGCTGTCCGAATGCTGCCCCAAATAAATGACACTTTTTTGTGCGTTAGTAGAAGAGATGAATTTTTAATTAAAATTTGCAGTTGTGTTGTGCGAAGATTGAATGCGAAATTCTACAATGCTGGACAACCGAGAGGTGCATAACAAATAAATTAAATTTCTAAAGCTAGGAATACATTAGGTTATTTATAATTTCACAACAGCTTTATAAAAACTCGTTTTCATTTGCAAGTTCTTGCCCTAACAAAATACAAATTTAGAACTCCGCATTTTGGGTTCACGACTATCTTGAATTATCTCTTTGCGATTAACATTGTTTTTCTTTCTTTCAGTTTTTTATCTAACGAATTTTGGTCATTAAATTATTTATTTTATTTTTTTATTAAACAAATATATACAGTTTCACATAATTTCTTCAGTCTTTCTTTGTCTTTTTAAATCTTCGTTATGTTTGTCATTCTTTAAACCTGCTTCTTTGAGACAGCGATTATTTCTTCTCGTATTGACTTTCTTCGTAAATTTAAATAATGTAAATTATAAAATGTTTAACCAAACGTGTTTTAGGACAGCACCATATAATTTTATAAATAAATTTAAAAAATCATTTGTAAGCCTCACCCTCTTTTTTTATAGAATATAGGTTTGTCATAAGAAAGTCGTAATATTTTTAAAACTTGACTTGACTTTATTTAATTATTGTTATATATACTATATTTAATCAGTACATTTTTGTTGTATATAACTAACGGCTAATTTATTACATTAGACATAATCTGTAATAATAATCACTTTGATTATAAATCGTATTATGTACATAATTCCCAAAGATTACTATTTGAATCCACCAAAGCAGCACTCAGAAGGCGAACATGCGAATGCTGATGGCTCCCAGAGTGCACTCGCCCTCAAATTCTCGCTCCTCCTCTTCGATTTGCCGCAGTCTTACAAGGTTTAGGGGTACGAACTCCCTGAGGAACTCCAGACCGGCATTAATGAGGGTTAGCTGAAGCCAGATCAGTGAAAGCCAGAAACAGGTTACACCGCCGAAGGGGGACGTCATTGTGCCGACGAGTTTGTAGACCTACTGTGGGATCAACATCGTGGGATCGTTACCCCTCAGAGCCCCATCAGAAACGTGTCGCTACCAAGCGATAAGGTCCAGGCGATAGCACATCCATTATCTTTTGAGTCCCAACATTGTTTTGTGCGTCGCAACATTATTTTGTGAGTCGCAACATTTCAATGTTGCACAGCAAATCAGACTGTGTCGCTGGGAATTCCGCTCAAACCGCTCCATCGAACCTCTGCCGCAGCGTTCCAAAGTTCGTTCGTTTCGATGGGGAGGGTGGACCACCTCGGACTATTGCATTCGTGTCCCTTGGCTTCGTGTGCGTTCGCAACAGGATGCGCATTGTGCCAGGACACATGTGGCCCAGCTCCACATGTCCCCCTCTCCGAGAAGTACCCAATCCCAGTTGTTCCCTGACTAACTGGGTTAGTGGTACAAGTTCAGTTTGACGCATTCGCCTTATCGATGGTTCCTCTTCCACGCGTTCCCCTCATTCGGCAAGGATTTGTGCATGCCGATGGTTGCTCGCATTATCCTTTTGCCAGGCTAACTCCGGACTAACTGAATAACCACCGCGTCCTTATGCATCGACAGTGGCTCAAAGGACACCGACTTCATCAGCAAAACGACTCCTTATCCCGCTCTTTTGCGCTTCATTGCGCACTGCAGCCGCCATTTTCCCGGCACATCCTTAATTGAAACTACATCGTTTACCTACTTGTAAGCCATCCTATCTGCAGCTGCTCCACGGCGGTCTTTGTCCTTATCTCTTTGCCTTTTGGGGCCTTTGTTTGTTTTCCCCCTCGACATATAGCCACCTTTATCTGCGATAGATGTGGAGGGGGAGGGGGAGGAAAAGGGGACATGGAATGCATCATTTGGCGTTGACGAGGGGGCACTCCCATCGCTTATTGGCAGAGGCTTCCTGGTATCCATCTCAGTGACGCCTTTGTTCTGTTCATCCTCCCGCCACTCCCCCAACTTTTACTACCAAAAAACGCTTCCTTTGTTATGCCAGCCGCTCGACGACAATTGCACTTGCTGATTGCCCTCATTTCAGACTTGAAATAATATTAAAAACTTTTACTCCGTCTCGCCGACGTACTGCCGTCTTTCCGTCTCTTTCTCGGCCCAATCTCCCCTCTCCTTCACTACCCGTTCTTTTGTCTTTGTCTTCTTCGCCTATGCCGCATGCCGCCTGCCGCTTGTTGCAATTGCAGTCCCTATCCCCATCCTTGGGCTGTTATTCCCTAGCTTGTTCTAGTTCTTGTTCTTGTCCTTCTTTTATTTACCACATAAATCACATGCCGGCAAGAACGGAGAGACATTTCTATATCTATCTACTTAAGGTTTTCACTGTCGGACTAGGAGCACTTCCTTGTTCGGCACTGGGAAAAATGAATACATGTTTTTAAACAATAAAGATTAAAAGGTATTTAAAAATTTACTTTTAAATTTAACAAGCATGTTATAAAAGAAAAAGGAAATTTCCCATGATTTTACTTTATTTTAACATAACCATATAATGTATATATCCTTTTTAACACTTTTTTGTAGGCATGAATAATATGTTATGAAAAAGCACAGACTTATTTTGCAAATACATACAAATACCTTATCAGCCTGCTTAATAAATTAATGAAAACCTTTATTTATGTTAATTTGTTGTCGCTGAAAAGTCTTTGGTGAAAAAAAGTGTGGCTTTTTTAATGACAAATTTAAAATGAGACTTGGACAATTTTTGTCGTCCTTCCGCAGTGCACTGTTTGTTCTCCTTTCTTCTCAGCTGGCGCTGCTTATCTCCTGTTCTCGACTTTGTCCTGGTCTCAGTGTGGCCGAGTGCTTTTTGGATTGTTAGTTGCTATTTTTACGATTGCCCATTGTCTGGCCGGAGTTACCAGCTCTCCTCCTCCAGGCTCCTCAGCGCCCTCATATCAGTGTTCCTCTCTGCTGATTTTCGGGATGCGATAGGACACGTATCCGCTTTTGGCGATTCCTTGGCAATTGCAGTTGGTGTAGCTGGGCAATGCTCGTGCGTGGGTGGAAACTGCCCGCTTTTTGTCGGGTAATTGATGATTTACAACTTATTTACGCTTCGATTGTGCAATAATTGAAAATTGCTCTAAATTCATTTGGGCATTCCTTGGGAAATATCCTTGCTGTTTTGCCATTGGCAACGGCAATGCCAATTGGCTTTGGCAGAAATTGGAGAAAGCCAAGTTGCCAACTTTTGGAAATATAATACAGCTGAGCAGCGAAAGTTCTTTTATGATTTTTGAAGCAAATCGATGGCGATTTGATAAACAAGGATAATTCATTTTATTTATTTTATTATTCTTTTATTTTCTTAAGGGCTTTTAATTACCCAATATTTTAATATTGGTCACTTTAAAAACAATGATAACGGCTGTGTTGTGACTTGAAATTGAAAAACATTTCGATGTACTTAATATGTGTAAAAAGTGTAATATATTTCACAAATTTAAATCCACTATTTTGTATGATAACAACATTGTTTAAAATATTGGATTAATTAGTGCTATATAACTTTTTCCTTAAAAGGCTTATCTTGGCAGCGAGTATAACCTTTTGGCAGGGTATAATTAATCCAGTTGCCGCATATTAAGCTTCCTAAAACACATGGCTGCTGCGGCCCCCTGATATGCAGCGTGGAAAATGGGAAATGCAAACGGCCAGCGAGCGGATTAAGCCGTTGCAGCAGCACAAAGGAAGCTCCAGTTGCAGCAGCTGCGGTAAAAACGTTCAAGTCGGGGATGTCTGGCAAGCCGACAAAAGCGAAATGTTGATCCTGCGGACAGAAGGCGCTGCAGCGGGGGGAGGGGGGTGGCCACCAGGAGATGCTGGAACACATCTTGGCATTGAGCCACAACCACGGACACACACAGTGGAATAGATGCTGCATTTAAATTCAATTCGGAGCAAATGAAGCAGCTCAGGCAAATTTCACAGGGCTTCTTGCCCCTTTAACAGCTTTTTCGACTTGACTGCGGCTGCCAGCAAATGTGGCTATAATTTGCGGCAACATATGCCCCAGCTTGTGGCAGCTGGCAACTGCCACTCCGCACGCCCAATTGGCTGCAAAATGGGCGCCCGCACAAAGAATCGTAAATTAATTGCAGCCTCAAAGTTTCTTTGTTGCACGTTAAGCTGCACTACCGACGGCCTGGCCTCCAATTATGTCATTAGACAAGGTCCAGATGGGCAGCCATAAATTGCCACCGGGGCAACCATAAACAACAGTCAGGTACGACAAATGCCTTCCCGGCATGAAAATGTTGACAAATTTTTCACCCCACCCCATCCCATGCGGCGTATACGCAACGTTGACAAACTCTACTGCAATTCGTCGCCAAGGGAAGCCTCATAAATCCACCCAAGCCACCCAAATGCACTCCTTTTTAGTGCTAGACCAACGACCCTAGTCCGATCCGTATCTGAATCAATTAATTTGTCCAATACGGATGAGCCCTGCAAAATTAAACTACTGCCGCAGTATGCTCACAATCTAAGCGAGATAGTAACAGCCAGGCTTATTAATGGATGAAAAATATAAAAGTTTGATTTTATTCATTTTAAAAGCTGTGAAAGCTTTATATTAAAAATTCGTTAGCATATTTATTTTCATCGTTGTTGAACATTTTATTGCCAAAACACACATTTTCGCCTAAACTCTACTAACTGCGTAAATTGCACCGCTTGAATAAAGCATGAAAAATTAATTTATAAAAATCCCAAAATGCCATTGCATCACATGGATTGCGCTTGTAAACTGATAGTGGGAAAAATATAAATTTTTGACATAAGAGTATAGAATTTTGGACATTGAAAATATTCAATAAAAATTTTTAGTCTCGCTTATAGTTAAACATAAATGATAAATACTGCTTCAGTCACTGAAAACATACCTACAAAAAACAAAATTAAATACGCAAATACTTCCAAGACTTTTAAGATTTTATGCAACAATAAACTGTTCGTGTTTTGAGTAAGCGGCATTTTTCTTACATCATTTAAGTTTTTGTTGCAAAACAACCAAATAAAGGAAAACTTTGTATAATAGGACAAAAGTTTTCGTATTATTAATACGTTTATAAAACAGCTTGTCGAAATAGAACTTTCTTTGACAAATTCCAGTTTTCAGTTTGGTTTCAAATGCAAAACTTTCCAGTCTCTTAAAGCTGAATGTGAGTAGAACTTTAGCAGGAGGGTCATTGGGAAATGTTTTTTAATGCCCGTTCGTTGCTTCCCGGTCAGTTCTTATGTCGCCATGAGGCAGAACACACTCCGCGACACTCGTCGTGCGGTCAAACATAATGCTTGCGGCTCATGCGGCGTGGAGCGCAATGGCTGTGGTGAAAACAGCGGCACTAACAGATGCATTAGCTGCAGAACGGTCAGAACCAGGCCAGAATGCCGTAGGATAGTGCCCTATACCGGAGCTCCGCACATGGCTATTAGATTACGTTGCGGCCATTGAGCAGGCACGCTGTCGCCGTCGACCGATGGCAACTTTTGCGCCTTGGCCGGGCTAAAACTCCACGCACGATTGATCCCCCGAATCCGGTTGCCATTCGCCATTCGCCATAGCTGCTCATGATATGTGAGTTAGTATAACCAGTCCAGTCCCCACTTGGTATGTCCGCTCTGGTGATTATAGTTACGCTCCATTTTGAATGCAATAAAGTCGCGGACCGAAATTAACCCAGTTTCTGGCTGAATTCGTCCGGGCATCGCCAACATCTGCAACGGGCGCTTGAATCAATCTGTTCGCGCTGTCCTTTCAGTTGACTTCATTTAGCAGCAGTACTTCATGGCGTATACACGATATTCATACTCAATTCTAACGCTCAACTGATTGTAAGTGGGTTTTTGGGCGAAGTGAAGTGGAGTGGGTTAGCAACCGTTGATTCCACCCTACTTCAAATGAAACGGAATCGTTTGCCATGCTGGACGTAATTAAATGTTACACTTCCGTC